GGGGGCGATGTTGCCCCATAACAGACTTTGCTCGCATCCCCTGACCCACAGGCCTGGAGATCTCCAAGTTCTGCTTCGTCAGCGATGAGGACTCCACGCAATACCTGAAGTCCCATGGGGTCAAGCTCTTCCTCTCGGCTGACAGGACAGACGTCTGCAATGCCCTCCAGAGAGGTGTGTCCTCCCCTCCATCCCACGTCCCCAGACCCACTGCACTTCTCCCAAACAGCCCAGTACCAAGAGGCAACACCAGAGCCCGTGCTCTCATAAGGGCAAGGGGCTGAATGGCACACTGGTTACCAGTACAGTCCAGTTCAATCTCCTCTTCTGTCCCCACCAGTGGCCTGCAAACACACCAGGGTTTCTCAGATGCCTCCACAAGTCACCAGGTGCTTTATGCATAATTCTAGCTGTAGCTCTGCCATGGGCCGGTCATTCCCTGCCAGACATTTCAGCCTTTCTAACCAAAGATGCTGCCCGTTGCTGCTCTCTGGATCGATGCCAGTGCACCAGCAATTCCCAGGGCTTTGTGAAGATGCTACAGAAATTTGCTTTCTTGGTACATGCCATTACCATGAGCTTAGTGATAGATGTAAGGACATCCTTGACCTGGATCAGAAGGAGTGCAGTCTCCCCAACAGCTCTAATGGGGTTAGTCGCCTCCTTATTAATTTGCTTGGGTATGAGCACATCAGCTGGCTGAGGTCCTTCAAGGTGAGGAGCAAACCCTCTGCAGCCTGGGCTCTCCTTTGCTACACAGCACATTCCTGGAGCCTGCTGGAAGAGCATCATTGCCCTGACAGGTCACTCTCATCTAGGGGCCTCAGTCCATGGATGAGAGCTGGCAGGGAACAGCCTGGAGGAAATAACCTGTAATTAAGCCAATTACCCCAATCAAGTGGAGGTGCCAGTCCCTATTACTCACAGCACGGAGCACTAAATCTGGGCATTAAGACCAGGCTTGGCAGGGTGAGCAAGCACCGAGAGGAGGGCAGCTTGTGCCTACACAGCCACCCATCACCTCTTAGGAGACCCAGTATCCCTCCAGATCCCTCCAGTCTCCGATCAGCAGCACCTTCTTGTCCATCCCCATCTCCGGGGGAATAACACAGCCCTGGAAAGGCTGGGCTGACCCTTGCAGAAAGACCCCAACATTTGTGGTGTGGGATGGGACCGTGGTACACATGCAGGGATGAGCTGACCATGCAAGAGCTGCCCCCAGGTTTGGGGTCCATCCTGACCCCCACTTGCTCTGTCTCACAGGGGTCTCGGCAGCTCTCGTCTTCCAACAGGAGGTGCAGGCGCCCCGCACCCCGCTCCGCGTGGTGTTCGACGGGGATGCCGTGCTCTTCTCCGACGAGACAGACCAGGTCTTCCGGGAGCACGGGCTGGAGGGGGCCGTGCAGTATGAGCGGAAGATGGAGGCCGTGCCCATGGGAGAGGTGAGCAAGGCACCCCACTTTGGTGGGCATCCACAGGCTCTGCACCCACCCCAAGCACCTCTCCTGTTAGGGTTTTGCCATGGGTAGCCAAAAACCAGAAATCCTTATGGGTTCCCCTGGCATCCACCACTTGGTCCTGGGTGTGGGCCTGATCTGGAGTCCTGCTGGAGATGGATCTGGCCTGATGTCTCCTGCAAGTGAGCATCAGCTCCCAGATACCCAGGGTTGTGGGTACCCTCCTAGATACCCAGGGTTGCGGTCACCTACATCTCTCATAGGCTGGGACCTCTTGCTGTGCAAGTCCCTGCAGGACCCAGACCCAGAGGCACTGCTCAGTGGGATGCACCTTCCTCGTCACTTTGAGATTAGGATGAGCACCATGAAGCTCACCTTCCTCCCAAGCACCCCAGTGCATAGCACCAGTCCCAGCACTGTCCCATCCTGCACCCCACAGCATCCCCATGCGCTGCAGAGCAAGAGGAACAAATGGCTCGTGTAGGCAGAGTAGGTGTCTCCATATTTCCCACCCACTCCCAAGTATCTCACTGTGCTTCCAGGGTCCCCTGAAGGCTTTTGCGATGCACCTTGGGAAGATCCGCAAGAAGTTCAGCCAGGAAAAATCCCCCATCCGTATCTACCTGGTGACTGCCCGCAGTGGCCGGGACATGGGCATCCGAGCCATCAAGACACTCCGGGAGTGGGGTCTGGCCATCGACGAGGCTTTCTTCATGGACGGGGCTCCCAAAGGCCCCATCCTCGCCCAGATCCAGCCTCACATTTTCTTTGATGACGGCCTTCACAACATCCATGGGGCTAGAGATGTGGGTGTACCCTCTGCCTGGGTCCCTTCCAGCTGCTGATGTGCCGCAGGCCAGCAGTCCTCCCTTCCAGCAGCACAGGGGACTGGGCCAGTTGGAGGCAAACTTTCTGGTGCAGAGGGATGGATTTCCAAGCCTGCAGCAAGCAAACCTCAGGGAAAGGGGGCATGTGCATTGCATGAGAGCACAGGCTAGCAGGCAAGACTTGAAGCTCATTTCTGCTCCTGATGTGAGGTCCTTTAGGTCTTAAGATAAAGCCAAAAGATGCAACTGCTCCAGGAAGGACAGACACCCTTGTTGTGACACTGAAGACTATCACCTACCTGCTCTGTAGGAGCTGGAGGCTTTTCTCTTCTGCAAAGAAATAAATCATAGAATCATTTGGGTTGGAAGGGACCTTAAAGATCATCCAGTCCCACCCCCTGCCATGGACAGGGACACCTCCCACTAGCCCAGGTTGCTCAAAGCCTCATCCAGCCTGGCCTTGAACCCCTCCAGGGATGGGGCATCCACAGCTTCTCTGGGCAACCTGGGCCACTGCCTCACCACCCTCACAGTGAAGATTAAAGAATATTATAAATTAAGATACTACCCCACACATGAGCTAAAGGAAGCACGAACCAAGCACTAAAAGTGCTAACTGTGGCTGTGTCCAGTCTCCAAGATTTACTCCCAGGACCTCTGCCTAAAGTAAGCCCTCAAGACTCTGCCTCAGCAGACACCCTCCTCTTGGTTTCCTTGGGAGGCTGATGTGGTGGCAAGTCCTTCAGGCAGCTCCAGCCAAAGCCAGCAGAGGGAGAAAGACCTCAAAGCCATAAAGGACCTACCAGCTTTTTTGAAATGGGTGACCAGGCTGAAGAAAAAGCCCAAGCAGAAGAGAGCATAGGACAAGTCACCTTCCATTAGGTGCTCAGGCTGCTCACAGAGTGCCATGAGGAGATCCAGGACCTGTAGGACACTGAAGCTGCAAGAGATGAAGACTACAACCCAGGTCTGAGGTCTGCAGGAGACAGAGCTGCCATGTAGCTCTGCTGTCCGTCCAGGAGAGGGCACTGGAGGTGGGCTGCCAACAGCACAAGCCACACAGGAGCCAGGGCTGCAGCCTAGCCCCCTCTAGACCGGGACTGGGTGCTCAGGCTGAGCTTAAATGGGTTTCCAGGGCTGTGGGCGCTGAGCATGGGTGGGGGTCCCAGGTGCAGCTGTTCAGCACAGACGGGGTTTATGGGTGTGCTCAGGACCCTACCCAGCACCAAGCCAGCCCCCCATACAGGGATGCCTCTTCTCCAGAAATTTGGATGCTGCTCCTCATTTTCCGAGGGAGTAAGTAGCCCCCCAAGACTTCTGAGGGAGTAAGTAGCCCCCCAAGACTCACTTGCAGGTTTCTTTCCCCAGAGTTGGATGTGAGTGGTTGCTATTAGAGGCCACTGTGCTGCCTGGGGTCATGGCACCCCAAATTCCTGGGAGGTCTCCCGAACCACCTTGAAGGAAAACACAAAGTGGCTGCTTAGGGCAGTGCCCGCTGGGTGGCAGCGGGATTATGGATGGAGGAGATAAAGATAACTGTGGCTCAGTTTTTCTATTCTCAGTATAAGCAGAAAGTAAGTTTTTTAAAGGCTTCACAAACGTCACTCTCACCTGTGCTTTCTTCCCCCCAATAAATAAATGAGCATCCCTGTGTGAGCGCTGGTCCCTCATACCCGAGTTTAGCAGGGTGGGAGGAGGGCTGGGATAACTCAGTGCTCCTTTACAGACATTCAGTCCTTTTATCTGGTCTTATATGCAAGCATCAAGATGGTTTTAATACACGAGAAACCTTCAGTGGGTTTTGGATTATGCCCCTGAACATCTTCTTGCATCTGTGTCCTCAAGCCGACTCCCCCGCTGCTACCCTGGGGGCTCTGCCCATCTCGCCCTCGCAAGGGGAGCTGATGGCCCTGCCATGCCACCGGCACAGGTCCTGTCCCTGCCACCATGGCCACCATGTGGGTCCACACTTGGTGGCACTTCCAGGGCAGGGCAGGCATGCCGGGGTGCAGGGCTTTGGTAGGAAGTCACCTCCAAAGATGCTGGGTTTTGGCACCAGCAGTCTGGCCTCTGGCCCTTTTGCTCAGTCCAGATGCTGAAATTAGATGTCTCGAGATAGCAACACCAACAACAAAGAGCTACTCATCATTCACTAATGACGCTGAGCACCCATCAGCCTGAATTGCTCAGCAAACATTAATTATGGGATGCTCAAAACATGCCCGGTGAGCAAGCACAGATGTTCATCCCACTTTTATGCAGGTCAGGTATCACTGGGCTTGGCGTGGGGATCCAGGCAACCTCTGGAGCAAGTCCAGAGGAGGCCATGAAGATGATCAGAGGCTGGAGTACCTCCCGTACAAGGACAAGCTGAGAGAGTTGGGCTTGTTCAGCCTGGAGACGAGAAGGCTCTGGGGAGACCTTAGAGCAGCTTCCAGTGCTGAAAGGGGGCTACAGGAGAGATGGGGGTGGGGACTCTTTACAAGGGCATTTAGTGACAGGATGAGGGGTAATGGTTATAAGCTGAAAGAGGGGAGATTTAGATGAGATATTAGAAAGAAATGTTTTCCTGTGCGGGTGGCAAGGCAGTGGCCCAGGTTGCCCAGAGAAGCTGTGGATGCCCCATCCCTGGAGGGGTTCAAGGCCAGGCTGGATGAGGCTTTGAGCAACCTGGGCTAGTGGGAGGTGTCCCTGCCCATGGCAGGGGGTGGAACTGGATGATCTTTAAGGTCCTTTCCACCCCAAACCATTCTGTGATTCTATGATTCTATGAACACCATGGCCAAGAGGGAATGAGCTGAGTCAAGGGTGGTGTGGACAGACCCACGTGAGCCTTCGCAGGGCACGAGCTGCTGAGGCAGGGAGAAAGTACCGTGTGCCTTCCTCCAGCACTGTCAGCACAGTGGGGATGACAGAGCGAAATGTGCCCAAAATGGGAAAAAAGGAAGGAAGCTCAAGGGTTGTGGGGTTGCAAAATATGGGGCCAAGTGCAACTGCTTCAGGCCATGGCTCGAAACATGAAAACTGCCCTTTATTGCCCTGCTCCAGAGATGGAGCGTCAAAAACACCCTCTGGCAAAGCCTGCTGCAGCTTCAACCCCTGCTGCAAGGGCAAATTTGTCTTTTCTGTCTTAGAGGCATCTGTAATAAGTTCATTAATGCTTGGGATGTTCCAGGTCTTGGTTTTCTGGGGCATTTTACTCTCCCTCCTCCAAGGGGTTGCTGGTACCCAGGGTCTTCTGCTGCTGCTACAGCCCAGAGGGGGTTTAGCTGATGGGGCTGGCTGCGGGATGCTTCTCTAATATCCATCCCAGGTTTTGGGGACCAGGGCAAAGCAGGAGGAGGTCACACCACCATGCCACCCCCAGGGACAGGCTCCCTTTGAGCCCTGCTGGCTTTCACACTTTCCGCTCTGGGAAAAGAAATAAAGGAGTGCAAAGGGGGCTCTGAGGACCTGCACTGGATTCTGGCCGTTGCTATTCAGCAGCCCCACACCATCCCAGCAGAAGCTGCCCAGTGCCAGAGTCCCCCCCAGCACTGCCCCACCACTAGTTGGGACACCCCCATGGCTTGGGACACCCCCATGACACCCTCTTGGCATGGGGAGGGAAGCAGATGATGCCCCCCCTCTGCTTAGCCCCACGCACCCCAGTTGCCTCCCCCTCCCTGCCAACAGTGCCAAACAAGTGGCCCTTGTTTTGGGGGGGGCGCGTGACCCCAGGGATCAGGGGCTACAGCCAGCTGGCCCCGTGGAGTTTGCAGGGGACCTTTGCCCAGGAGCATGCCCCTAATCCCCTACAAACTGCACCAGACAATTTAAGCTTGCAACACTAAAAAACAACTTAGCACGATGAGAAAGGAATTTTTTATGAAAAGGCAATGTTGCAGGGAAGGTAGATTGATTACTCAATGTCTGAGCAGTTCGGGTTTCTTGTCTTGTGGCTGGAGGGGGGGAGGGGGGTGGGAGAGGATGCTGGAGGCTGCAGGACCCGGGCACAGGTGCGGTGTCTGCCAGGGATGATGCTCCCACACCTCCCTCCACCCAGAACCTACAAATATCTTCGGCCGTGAGCACAGGGCAAGTATCAGGTTGCCCAGAGAAGCTGTGGATCCCTGGAGGGGTTCAAGGCCAGGCTGGATGAGGCTTTGAGCAACCTGGGCTAGTGGGAGGGGTCCCTGCCCATGGCAGGGGGTGGAACTCGATGATTTTAAGGTCCCTTCCAACCCAAACCAATATGTGATTCCATGATTCCATGATCTGCCCGTTTTTTAATTACCTCTAAGCAACTCCAGTGGCAGAGCTCCTTGGGAAACACTCTGGGGTTCACAGCCGGAGAGACTGAGATGCCAAGTCCCACACTGCAAATAATTATTAACAGGGTGTTTTGTGTGCAGAAACTCAAGAGAGAGGGTGTGCAAAGCCACAGATTGTGTTTGCCGAGGTGCTTAAATGTGGGTTCAAGATCTTAACCCCGGACAGGCACGTCGGAAATGTTGGCTGCGGTGGCAAGTGAAGCCGGTGCTTAGGAGAAAGGTGACAATAAATAGGTGGGAATTAAGAGCCTTTACCGGCATATTCACGCACCAGCATCCGCCCCAGGCCATCAGGATTGATTCACCCAAGAGGAGCTGGGTGCTTGCTCCCACTCCAAGGAAACACATTGCAATTTTAAGCTGATCTTTGGGTCACTGTGCGGTGTTGACCCTCATCTTTCCAAGCCCAGCCTCCTCCCAGCACCAGAAGGCTCCATTGGTTTGGTGCGTTGCCACATGGAGGAGATTTAATTGCATAAATGATCATAGAATCATAGAATCAGAGAATGGTTTGGGTTGGAAGGGACCTTAGAGGTCACCAAATTCCAACCCCTTGCCATGGGCAGGGACACCTCCCATTAGCCCAGGTTGCTCGAAGCCTCATCCAAGAAGACCAAATTATGGTCTTCTCAAGGCAACTTCGGCTGAAAATTGAAGGAAATAATTAAACAGCATCGAGTGCTGGCAAAGAAAATGAGCTGGATG